TTTTTTTTTTTTTTTTTTTTAGGTGAAACTGAGCCTAGAGTCAGGCATTTCTTGGGTAAAATCCTGTTTACAAAGAATGTGTGCAAGCTCTGCTGGCATCTTTTGTTTCCCCAAACACCATGAGAATAGCAGGAGACAAGGTCCCCAGTCAACAATTCCATGTTGCTCTCCATCAACCCTCTGCCCAAAAGTAGCTACCTTCTGGTCTCCTCCTTGCGCAGCACCAAAAGTAACTCACTGCCCACTTCTTGGTGGCTCTCTGCTTCCCACAAGCAAAATGATGCAAGTCCAAGCAACCCCCCCTTTTCTGCTTTCTCTGAACAACGGGGTATTTAAGAGCTGTCTCATTTGGGCTGAGCCTAAATATACTCTTGAATTAATGCAGTACCTCAACATGCCCCCCGCCAATACACCTCCAAAAGGTATATGTAGGGATCTTTCTGTGCCCATATGGAGCTGCCAGAATCCTACAATTCTATGTCCTCCTTCTTCTCAACTCATAGGTCATACACTTCTGTCTGAGGACATGCCACACTTTGCACATGGCTAGCTAAGGGCAGAGCTATCAACTCATATAACTGATAAGCTCCACAGAAGAAGACAGCAGAGCTTATGAACTAGACAAATAGATGAAATACAGTTTCTCGCTCATATTTTTCCTGTATCCCTGCTATAAAAACCACCTAGGAAACTAGGTGCAAAAGCCCCTGGATACTATGCAGTGGTAAGCTCAAGCCCTCAATACCGGAGAAATTCCCAGAGGGAGTTCAGGACATTCCAGCAATACCAGCTCTGGCCTGTTGTGCAAGGGAAAAAGCATGTTTATTTCTCTTTCCCTTTTCAAATGCCTTGTGGCATTATTATTCCAGTTGTGCCTACAAGTCTCTCCTAGCTGCTCTGTCAATGGTTGATAGGCTGGGGATCCTTTGGTGAAGGAAGGCTAAGCAGTCTCTGCTTCCTGGCTGGACAGACACCTCCAGCTGGGACGCTGGGGCAGCCGTTTTACCTCTTGGCTGCAAAGATCTCTTATTAAACAAGCAGTCAGTCCACAACTCTCAGCAGCTGCTGACTACAATGCGTTGGCTCTTGCGGCCTTCTCGGTGCATTTGTGCGAGGTGTTTTTGCATCTAATTCCTCCTCATGAACGACAGACTCATCCTCCCACCACAAGGCCATGTTCTTACCTGCTCTCCTGGTAATCCGTATGGACCAGGCTTTCCATCCATGCCAGAAAGCCCATCTGAACCAGGGTAACCAGCCCTTCCTGGAAATCCTTGGAGTCCAGGCTCCCCCTGGAGAGAGAGAAACAGGTGAATCAATGAAAGGAGACAGAGGAATGTTGCAAGTGAAGTAGTATAGTTCCACTTGGTCATTCAGTGCTACCCTGGGACTCAGCAATAAGATCTGTGTGTGAATGGAGGAAAACAGCTGCATCCAGGGAGGCAAAGGAGTTTTATTTCCATTACATGCATGGTTAAGAATGAAGGGACAGAAGGGATTAGGAAATCGGGATGGAGTAGAAAGGTTAACAAGAATGCAAATCATTATAAAGCTCATAAGCCAAATGCTGAGATTTCCCTGTCCTTTTGTACAATGGAGATGGAAAAGCCCTGCACACTACCATATGCGGTGATAGATTTCAGCACTTGCACAGTGATGATGATGAAACAAATGTTGCCACCCACTCATATGTCAGAAGCATAAAGGCCAGAAAGCCAGCAACAGGTAGACTGCTCAATGTCAATAAGACCATGGGCATCTGAACGAGGGCCATAAGGCCATTCATAGATGATGAGGTCAGTCATCTGAGTTTGAGCAGCACAGCTGCAGCCAGCATCATTGGAGAGGCCCCAAGAATGGATTCACCTTAAACCATCCAGCATCTGTTCTGAGAGGGTGAAGAGCAGTCCAGGCCCTGCGGGGCAGCTGCCAGCCTGGGGCGTGTAATCTGGTGTTGGGGATGAAGTTCTGTAGCTGCAGGTCTTGTGCAGCGTATTGTCTGCTCCACTGATGGGAGGTCCATGCTGTCGGTGACAGGCCATCTGCAGATCTGATGAGCTTATTAGCCTGAGTGGAGAACAGGCTCTGAGACTGGTAGTTGATTTTCTGGCTTGTGGCTACTAGGCTGGAGTACAAAGAATGGTCCAGATCTTGGGCTTTGAGGCCTAGGGCCTTGGTAGTAGCTTGTCTCCGGATGTCAGGGAGAGGGAAATGCATGAGAGGACTGGCAAGCAGTCAACTGGAGTTAGCATAGGCATCTGGTGATGGTCCTCATGATGCTGTTAAGGCTGGAGCCCATTAACTTAGTGTGTGTATTCCAACCCCACACTGGCGCACAGCATTCGGCAGGAGCATACACAAGTGCCAAAGCAGTGGTGCAAAGTGTTTGGAAACTGCACCCAGGTGGTGCCAGCACAGTGCTTGCACAGCGCTTCTATCCATTAGCCAGTGAGAGAACTTTAAAATACACAGGAGTCCACAGTCCCTCTCAAAAATGATCTATTAAACCAAAAAAAAGCAGAAGCCACATGATAAAAAAAAGAAGTAGAACTACATTAGGAGAAGGTCAAGCAAAAGCCTTGTACATCTGTTTCTGATCACTGAACTTAGAGGCTCTCTAATACATGCAATACTTTATACAGACTCTCTGACCTTGTTTCTGTTAACTAGATATAGAAAAATAAAGGAATTTTACAGTTGGCTGGAAAACCTGGAGAAAAAAAAAATAGGTCCCCCCACATTTTTTAAAGGAATTGCAAATCAAAGCAAAACATTTGGTCTCGCCCAAAACAAAATGTTTCACTTTGATCTTGAATGCTTTTTAAAATGTGATATTTTTAAAAATACAATCATGGGCAAATTTTGAAACTGGAAAACTTTCCTTTTTAAAACATGAAATGCATCACATAGAAAATGATACAGACAAAACATCTCAGTTTCTTCAGATTCTACCCTTCCCCAAAACAATGAATTCAGTGCAATCGATATGAGATTGAGAAACATCTTGCTGCTGCTAAATTTGCTCTTCTCAGTGAAAGAAAGTCTGGTTGAAACATTTTATTCAATGCTGCTTTTAAATGTTGATTCTGGGGTGCAATGAGTGTTATTTCTATTTTGGTGGCTCAAGGAAGGCCTCAGCAGAAATCACTGAGCTGTACACATTACACATACAGTGTGCAGCCCTGACCTAGCTCCAAAGACCTGGAACCCAAATAGACAAGAGAGACATGGGGCAGTGCAAAGAAATGGAGGCAGGAGTGACAAAAGTGGGGCATGGAAAAAAATGGATGTCTCCTGAGTCTAGGGCTCTGTCCAGTGGATTTTATTGCAACTTAGAATAATATCATCAAAACCAAAGAAATGTTACAAGCAGAAGCAATAAAATCCAATGGTCCCCAGGTCTGGTTGTGATTCTGCTTTTTGTTTGTATGACTATATGGTCTATTTGAGCATGGAGGATATGAGTTGTAACAGCCCCCAGCTAGAAAGGCCTGACTTTTAAGCTCCAGCTGTAGCAGCTGAGACCTTTAGCTTTGGAGGTCCCTGGTCCAGCTCCCCATGTGCTGGACAGAAGGGGAGCGGGTGTCACTTGGAATGAAAAGTTAGAATGAAAACAAGCTGTTCAGCTTCCATGAAAAAAAATCAGACATGTGACAGCAGCTCTGAAGACGGACAAAAAAAAAAGTGCTGCGAGCAATGACAGCAAAAGAGCAGAAGGAAAGATGAGAGACGTCACCAACGAGTTTGCTTCAGGGTCATTTGGGCACCCGTCGTCATTAAACCTTGACAGTCAAAACTGAGCTGGAGCCAGACTGCTCAGCCCATTTGCTGCTGGCACTGCAGTGCTTTGGCTGTAGTGCAGGCTGCATCTCTCAGAGGTCGGCTCAGCAGCTCCACTGCCGCACCACCTGGAGCAGCTGGCCCCGTGCCAGCTTACCTACCACTCGTTATCAACATCTTCTTTGAGGTCCCTCTGACAAGGAACCTGTGAACTAATAGCAGGCAAAACGAAAAACAGGCCCAGTCTGAACCAAACCCAAGCTTTTCCAGGCTCTGTTGTATGTGGACAAGTGTCCACCCTCATCCCCCACCACAAGCAGATAAACGCAAGGATCCTTAACTCAAGCAAGCCTGAGATCCCTCTGGGCACGTCTGCATGACTTCCTTCCTGCCCCTGGGTCTGCTGTTGACAAAGTAAAGGCCTGTTCACTGGTCCCAATCTGGTGGCAAGTGGTGGAGTAGACAGCTCAGGAGTGGCCCCAAGTGCCCCACCCCAATGCTGCTCTCAGGCTTTCCAAGACAGACCAACTGTGCGAAGCCCTGGGGTGTGCACCCAGGGCTGCTCCGAGTCATCTGCTCAGCCTAGCTGCTGGCCTGTGGTGCACCCAGGGAAAGTGAGGAGGTTGGAGAGGAAGCCATATAGATATGTCTGCTTGTTCCAACACAATTAATGCTCTGAACCCTGCACACAGAAGAAGGGCTGGAACACATGGTAGACACACTGCACCCAGCACAGAAGGCACAGAGAAGAGAGGTGTATATAGGCAGTGGAAAAAGAGCAGGAGGGAGTGTGTAGAGAGGAGAACGGAGATTCTCTTTTGGTGTAATTTGGATTTTAGGATGTGAGGGTCAAGTTCCAGTGTAGACATATGCCCTGTTGAACAGCCCATCGCTAACACACATTTGGGGTGTTTCACAGAATCTCAGAAAGTGAGGGTTGGAAGGGACCTCAGGAGGTCATCTAGTCCAACCTCCTACTCAAAGCAGGACCAGCCCCAACTAGATCATACCAGCCAAACCTTTGTGTAACTGGGTCTTACAAACCTCCAAGGATGGAGATGCCACCACCTCTCTGGGCAAACTGTTCCAGTGTTTTACTACCCTCCTAATAATAACATTTTTCCTAGTATCTAACTTAAACTTCCCTTGCTGCAACTTCAGACCACTGCTCCTTGTTCTGTCATCTGCCACCACTGAGAACAGTCTAGCTCCATCCTCTTTTGAAAGTCCCTTCAGGTGGGCAAACTGGAGAGTGAAGGCTGCTATTAAATCCCCCCTCAGTCTTTTCTTCACTAGACTAAATAAACCCGGTTCCCTCAGCCTGTCTTCATAAGTGCCCCGCAACTCCCTCACCATTTTTGTTGCCCTCCACTGGACTCACTGCAATTTGTCCACATCCTTTCTGTAGTGGGTGGAGTGGGGCTCAAAACTGGACACAGGACTCCAGATGTGGCCTCACCAGTGCTGAATAGAGGGAAATAATCATTTTCCTTGACCTGCTGGCAACACACCTACCAATGCAGCCCAGTACACCATTAGCCTTCTTGGTAACTAGGGCACACTGCTGGCTTATTTTTAGCTTATTGTCCACTGTGACCCACAGGTCCTTTTCTGCAAAGCTGCTGCCCAGCCAGTCAGCCCCCAACATTTACTGATGCATGGGATTGTTCTGTCCTAAGTGCAGGACTTTGCACTTGTCCTTGTTGAACTTCCTGAGATTTCTTTTGGCCCAGTCCTCCAATTGGCCTAGGTCACTCTGAATCCTAGCTCTACCCTCCATTGTATCTACTACTCCCCCCCAGCTTGGTGTCATCTGCAAATTTGCTGAGGGTGCACTCTATGCTATCGTCCATGTCTTTGAGGAAGACACTGAACAAAATCAGTCCCAGGACTAACCCCTGGGGCACTCCACTCGATCCTGTCAGCCAACTAGACATTGGGCCATTGATTACTACTCTCTGAGCCTAATGCTCCAGCCAGTTTTCTATCCACCTTACAATCCATTCATCCAGCCCAGACTTCCTTAGCTAGCCTGAGAGAATGTTGTGGGAGACCGCATCAAAAGCCTTGCTAAAAATCAAGATATACCACATCCACCGGTCTCCCCACATCCACAGAACCAATCATCTCATCACAGAAGGCAATCAGATTGATCAGGCGTGGCTTGCCCTTGGTGAATCCATGCTGACTGTTTCTAATCAGCTTCTTCTTCTCCAAGTGCTTAGAAATGGATTCCTTGAGGATGTGCTCCATGATTTTTCCAGGGACTGAGGTAAGGCTGACTGGTCTGTAGTTTCCTGCATCCTCCTTTTTCTCTTTCTTAAATATGGGCACTATGTTTGCCCTTTTCCAGTCATGCAGGACCTCTCCTGATTGCCGTGAGTTTTCAGAGATGATGGCCAGTGGCTCTGCAATCTTATCGGGCAACTCCCTTGGAAAATAAGTTCGTTATGGCCTTGTATTGTGGTACCACCTTGAAGTCCAAGCGATGGGCCAAGTTTCTGCTGTGTTAGGGGCATACAAACACAGAACAGAAAGAGCAACCCCACTCTGGAAAGCATGCAGACTACAAGTATGGATAAGTACCTGCACAACTATATACAAACACAGCAGCACTGTTTCCCACTAGTGCTGTCCAGTACCGACTACTGGAGCCTTGGGTTAGCAACAGGATTCTGCCTCTTAGATTTGCAGAGCCAAAAGATGCGGGCACAGGGCAGGAACATTATGAAGCATTATGCCCCAGATTTTGCTCCCCAGTAACATTTACTCTGTCATAAGTAACAGATGTACAATCAGCTCCCCAGCCAAGCTGCCCAAACCAAGCACTGTTACAGCACCTGCTACTAGGTGGCAGGGAAAGGTGTTTGAATTAAGCAAAAGGTTTCCCTGAGATGACACTGGCTTGAGAAGCAGGCACATGACTGGTGTGCCATTATAATTTACTTTGGTCTCTAGTTACGCACATTCCAAGGGGGACCTTTGCCCCACAGTGGAGCGACTTTCACCCCAAAAAAAGGCTGTACATCATGCACCGGCTCCACTTTTACTGCAGAGTCAACATATTGTGTCCGCATGTAAAGATCAGTCCAATAGCAACATGTTAGAGATGGGCAGTGTACAAGATTTTATTCCCCAGGGCACTAATCCACTGCCAGAGGTTGGGAATATTGCTGAACTCCCCAAAACCAAATGGGAGCGCTGCTGGCAGGAGGGCAAGGGAATTCAGGATTAGTCCCATGTAGTCAGGCCTGACTGAGGCTTCCTCGGTCTGTTGGGTCTAGGCCTCCGGAAAATAATCACGTGTCTCTGGGAAGTGACAAAGAACAGGTCTTTTCTACATGTGTGGCACACAACACCATATATTCCCGGTGTGTGTGGGGAGAGCAGATTGAAAGATAGAGGACTCAGAAATAAAGACGGCAGCTGAGAAGGTGAGGCCAGTACAAAACAAAGCAGCTTATTCAAATCTCTGCAATCTAAAGCTTAGATTCCCTTTGAAATTTCTGCAACTCAAAACTTAGCTCCCCTTGCAAAGCTGGGTCTTGTTCAGAGATAGCCAGTGCTGGGAGCTTATTCCTACCCCCTTCCCCTCCCTAGGATATAGACCTGCTTCCAAAATACATCAGGGACACAGCTGCACTCTGAGGCAGAGGGGGGAAAAAGGTTCCTTTTCATTTCTGCACTAATCCCTCCATGAATTGCTGACCCCCCTTGCAAATCCTGTTTACACAAATGGGTGAATAACTTTTGGTGCCTTTTGATTAAGTTACACTGACAGACACAAATGTTTATATTCTGCTTCCTTAGCATGAGCAGTGAAACCTTCCAGATGTTGGCAGCTGGTAATACATGCTGCCACAACACCGTGTGTATCACTACTGTATTCCCCAACACTGCCCTCCTCTCTTCTCCTGAAACAGGAGACATCTCGAGGCAGGCTGCATGCATGGTCTGTACATTGCCCCAAAGAGATTTCTGATTTTCCATTCTGATAGCGGCTGGTCACTTTGTTAGAGCCCTTTCTTCACCAGCCCAAATGGGCCCAGGCATTAAATATCTTTCCTCATTTCTTCCAGCCTGTCTCTCAAAAGCTAGTGCAAGGAGCAGCTCATTTGCTAGGGCTTGGAATGATAAAGCTGTGACAACACACTTCGGTAAGGGCTTAAAAAGAAATGGAGCCTTCATTTCTGCTATCTAATCTCATATTGCAAAAGGCTTTGGCGATGTTTGTGTGCTCCTTGTCTGGGTGCCTCTGTGGGCTGAACTGAGTTTTTGCACAGCCGCTAGCAGCACCATGGAGATTCAAGAAAACAAATTCAGCTCACTTGTCCCTCCACTGACTCTAACTGTCAGGGATCAGTACTGCAAATAGTGACCACCCTAATGTTTGCAAGCACAAGAGGGTTTAGTAGTTCAGATCCACCAAACTTCACAGGGTTTATCTGAGCAAAATCTTGATAGCGTTCCCCTGCCAGCCAATCTCATGCTCGTTTGGCTTTGGGCTCGACATTCGCAAGCCCAACAGACACCAGCTTTGTCTGGACACCTCTTTCAGACTCAGAGATCACATTTAGGGCTTAGCTGCGGGACGTCAGCTTCTCCATTTGTGCACTAGTTGCACTGGAGACAGGCTGAGCTCCCTGTCGATCTCCACGGTGGTCTGAAAGAGTCAGTAAGTGCTGACTCAGCAAGTGAAACTCAGCAACACAAAAGAAATTAGGACAAGCACCACATGAAAATATATCTAGATGTTTGCTCCTCCTCATAGCTCTGTATGGACAATCTGCTAACAATTTAAATTGACGTTCACCAGGATTAGAATACATCTCCCTCCTCTCTATACTAAATGCACGTAGGTTGGAGGAGATACCTCATCTCCAAAGCAGAAGCAAAAGGAAGGGAAGACTTATTCCTTTGAGAGAAGAGGAGACAGAGAATATGAGTGAAAAAAAGGGTACGAGGAAGCCAAGCCCCCTCCCACAAGGCATGTGAGGGGTGGGTTGGATGGTGTCCCTGGAAATGCTGGGGACAGAGACTGCAAAGGACAGGGAGAGCTCTGGAGATAAGAACGGAGGAGTCATAATGACACTCTTGGGCATATTGCCAGAAAGCAGCAATGAGTTCAGGGAAAAAGTCTGGTCCATATGAACACAAAAACTGGATTTGTAGCAGCTGAGACAAATGGGTGTATTGGAGGAGGCTGGTCATTGTGAGGAGGAAGTGAAGGCTACACAGGAGAAGGTGAGTCGGACGCAGTTGAGGACTGGTGAGGGGAAAAGTCACTTAGAGAACAGTATTGCTAACTCAGAAAAGACCAGTCCCCTTCACAGAAAGCAGGTACACATTAAATAAGATGGTGGTGGGGAGGAAGGGAGAGGGTTGAAATTCAAGGTGCCTAGGAGATTCATACACTCGGGTCCCTTCTATCTGAATGCATATCAGACATCCAAATCTTAGACAGTTTAGAAACTTTCAGCTGAGGTCTGTGGAGCGGGCCAGACATATGGGCCTGCTACCCAGGTTTAAGGTCTCAGATCCATGAATGGACTGTCTTGTAGATATCTCTAACATACATTTAGAGACCTTGGGGTCTTTCCCCCTAAGAAGATCCCAAAACTCCAGTGACTGTACTGTGAGCTGCATATGTTCAGCACCTCTGAATAAGGTCCTTTGTACAGAGGAGCCTGACACCAGAATGCGTCCGCCTGCCCTACAGTTTGCAATCTCCTGGACACGGAGCATGCCAACACAAACTCATGCCTGTAGATTTATGAAGCCTGCACTTACCACATACCCCAGCTGGCCTTTTTCACCTGGCTCCCCAGGATATCCGGGTGGACCCTGCACACACAGGTGAAATCAATGCAAGTTAGCCTTTCCCCCACCCAGCCTGGCTCATGTTGCAGTATTTACTGTGCTGAAAGAATGTTGGGCCTTTCAGCCTCATTTAAAGATACCATTACAGGGTAAACAATGAACAATACACAAAGGTACCATTGGAAACCTCAGTCAAAGGCTTCATGACAGAGTGATCTGCATCAAAGCTCTCTGCATGTTCTACAGAGACAGCCCTTGCTTTGCTATTCTGCCAGTGTTCACCTACTTTATGACAAGGACACCATCCAGTATGCTGGCGGGGGCAAGAGGCTAAAAGCTTCCCTCTACTGCTAATAATACTTTCAGGAAGCCAGTATATAAAATGCCTCTTCCCCAATTTTGTCCAGTTTAATTTCACTGGCAGAAGTTGCCTCTTATGTAGTCTCAATCTGCTTCCCTATCTCTATTTCTAATTCAAGTTGATTTGAAAGCACTTATCTTGCTTTCCTGTCTGTGTGCTGGCATTATCAGATAGGTCAACAACCTTTGGGGTATTACCTGCTAATTGCAGCCAGAGTCAGCACAAAGACTGGTTGTGTAGGACCTATATAATTATGGCCTTTCTTTTTTTTTTAGATGGCTATAAAAAAATTTATGCAAATAAGCTTATGCAAACCAGCCAGATAGAGGAATCAAATTTGAGGCCGAAGTTGTTCAAGCAGTTCTAAACAATGCCTTAAAAAGTTTATACAGTGAAAGCAGAAACATATGAGGGGACATTTATGAGGACTCAGCTGGCTTGGGAAAATGTGAAAGGATTTCCCCCCCGCCCCCTCTTACTTACTGTCAGGCCTGGCTTTCCTGGATGTCCTGGGGGTCCAGGAGGCCCTGGCTGTCTCTGGATTTAAAACAAAATAGGTAGTAAAATATGCGCAGGTATCAAATTATTTGGAAAAAAAGGATCACATGGAAGAAATCTGGAAGTTTTTCTTGGAGGATTTATAACATATGGCCTGTGCTTTTGTGGTAGAATCATGGAAAACAGAGTCGGAAGGGACCTCCATGGGGTTATCTAATTCAGCCCCCTACTCACGGAAGGGTAATTTCTGTTTAAACCATTCCAGCTCAAGTATTTGTCCAATCTGTACATAAACACTTCCAGGAATGGAGATGCCATAGAGCCTCCCTAGGTAATCTATTCCAGTGCTTAATTTTCCTCATAGATAGAAAGTTCTTCCGAATACCCAACTACATTTTCAATGCTGAAATTACAAACCATTACCTATTGTCTTGTCCCCTGAAGACAGGCAGATTATCTTATCACCATCCTCTTTATAATTTTCTGTTCAAATCCTGCCCCTCTCCACCCCCATCCCCATAGGTCCTGTTACAGAATCATTGATTGAAATATAACCCAAAATGTTTTGACGGCACCTACAGCATTTTACACAGGTTAACAGAATATGCTTTTGAATTTCTCACTTCTACTAATGTAACCCATGCTAACCCACTAAGTTGATTCGTCACCATCTACAACTTTATCAGGGGCCACCAGCAGGGACTCGGGGAAAGTCTGTTCACCAGGGCCCCCCTTGGGGTCACCAGGAACAATGGCCACAAGCTGAGGGAGGACAGGTTTAGGTTAGATATTAGGAAGAACTACTTCACGGTAAGGGTGGCCAGAACCTGGAATAGGCTTCCCAGAGAGGTGGTGCTCTCACCTTCCCTGGAAATCTTCAAGAGGAGACTGGATGGGCACCTGGCTGAGGTCTTATGACCCCTGCCACCCCCAGTGCTCCTTCCTGCCCATGGTAGGGGGTCAGACTAGATGATCTGTCTAGGTCCCTTCCCACTCATTGATTCTATGATTCATCTGCTACCTATTCCTTGCATAGGGATTTATGACATTGGTATAGTCTTCGGAGCAAAAGAACCTGGGTTCTCTAGTTCAGGTACTCAGGATTCACGATTGTAGATATAGAGATTCCAGGTTCAAACCCTTCTGTCCCATTCAGAAACATCACACTGAGAGTTAATGAACCGAGGGAAAGAAATGCTTTATCTGAGACATGGTACAGGATGCAACATAGAGAAGCTCTGGGGAAGAAGGCTCATTCCAAAAGTGGCTAAGTAATGGTCAGTGCTACATGGCTAGAAGATGGAGAGAAACATGAAAATAAACTCCATGAAACGGTTAGAGAAAGAGCATTTAAGACGATAAAAAAGAGATTCATTTCTACCTAAATGAAAAAGGGGGGACCCAGCAGAGCTGGAGAACAGAACCTCTATGATATTTAACACCGGGTTGTCCATTTCCTGCTTCCATTCATTCTTCGGTCTGAGGCTTATCTATGATGCACAGGGAAGTTTGAGGCACTTCACCCTTCTGTGATGCGCTTTTCTGGCATTGCTCCAACTTTTAAAGATCGGTTCATTAAACACCATCTAATCTGACTTCCTGCATAATGCACGACAGAGAATTTCACCCAATAATTTCTGGGTCAAACCCACAACTGGTTTGAGCTATAGCATTTCTTTAAGACAAATATTCATCTTGATTTAATATTTCAGGCAAGACATTCCTACGTAGACTTTACGTAAGCAACATACTCACCGGCCACCCTGCATAGAGAAGCTGGTAAAAGGAAGATTGCTAGAAGGAGAAGAAAAGAGAGTCCATCAGAAAGATCCATGAATTATTCCAACAGTGATCAGGGCACAAGCACAACACACACAAGAGCATTGCTACACACTCCGATTTTCAGTGGAACAAACCAAAATTAAGGAAATGTTTTTGGCTTAGATGAATATAAATGTAATAATTACATATACTATACTCTGTATTGCATTTTACATTTTAGATTATCATTCATTTTGTATTGTCATTAAAAGCAAACATTTCAATAAGGTCTTTTAAATGGAAATTTTCAGAATTTCTGTTTCATGAAAAATTTCAGCTTTGCACCTTCTTTTAGGCCAAAAAAAAATAAAACCCCAGTCATCTGAAATATCAGTGTCCCATGTGACACCAGTTCTGCTTTCCAACCAGCTCCACTCAAAACCTAAGCTGATAAGTAACTTCCCCTCCTGCTGGCACTCGCGTGGGGGTTACTGCACTTTTTAGTTCTGTCTCTCCTTTGCCTTTAATGAACATTCAATACAAGCAATTCAGAGGAAAAAAGGACAAAACACCACAAAAGAAAAGCACCAAACTCCAGTGCTGAAAGCTGATCTCACACTATTTGTGACTTAGAAAGACGTTAAAAAAGCCATTAAGTCCAGTCTTCTTGAAAGGTTCAGGGAAGTTTGGAGAAGCATCAGAAACACTTTCTAGGACATCTATCCAAGTCATCAGTTTTGCTGAAGTGATCTCAGCAATACAAATGGCAAGAGATGCCAGCAGAAAGATGTCAGTCCCTTCTACTATCCCACCCATTCTCACTTTGCACTGGTCTCCAGTGAGGTTAAGCAGGTGATACAGTGAGGTCCCCTCAAACCTTAGCCTAGCCCAAAGGCAAAAACATCCCTTACTTTTCAAACATCACTGGACAGGGTTTCCATTTGAACACCAGGCTGTTTACCCAGTGCCAGTCTTCAGAGCTGTGGGAAACCTTTTCCCCAGCAAAGATTATACTTCTGATACAGATGGGGAGAAAAGGGGGAAAAAAATGAGAGAACGCTTTTACAAAACTAAACAGAGGGCTTTCAACAGATGGAAATATTTCTAATAATAAGTGGGGCTCTTTGATAGATGACGGATGGCTAAATTTAAGTGGCTCTAATGCTGCACCAAGCATCTCGGTCCCTTTCAAGTTTATCCCAAATTGATTAATGTGAGCAAATGCTCAAGATCCTTGACAGTCTGTCAGAAGTAGGCTGCGGCCCCTGTGCAGCCAAGTCTCATTTCCCTCAGAAACTCATTCAGAACAACTTTTCAGGGGCTTCAACGTGGCTGGAGTGCAGCCAGGGTTTCTGCCTGGTGCCGTTTGAAATGGTGAGCTCGGGTTCACCCCAGGCTTGAGCTGATTTCATTAAACTTAAAAAGAAAAAAAAATGAAGGGAGACCTGAATCCTGAATTCAGTTTGACCAATTATCCCGAAAGCCAGGAGGAGAGAGCACTTGATGGCTTTATTTTAAGGAAATAAGGACACTTTGCTTGGAGGGGCTGCAGGCAGCAGAAAAGAAGAGCAATTAGTTTAGAAACTCTTCACGAGAACACCAAGCGATCAGACGGCACCCGGGAATGGACCCAGACCCCTATACCCTGCCTCTGGCAGCTGCCAGCATACAATGCTTCATGGCAAAGTGACACACACACTGCATGCCTTTATGAA